GGTGGGATGTTCTGTCAGATGGGGCGACCAGGTTGGGCGTGTGCAAGCAGCAGCCCTAACATGTCTTTGGGACAGTAAAACCCAGCTGTGGCACTTGTCTCTAGAGCCCAGCAGGAAAGCCCTCCCAGACTTGGGCTGGTGGTTAAGCCAGGCGTGTGGTTTCATAAGGGGGACAAAGCTCCAGTCCTTCCTTCCAGCTGGAGGGAGCCCACGGTGAGCCAGGCCAAGCTCAGGGCAGGTCTGGGAGCTCGGGCTTGCCGGGGTGCGGCTGCAGCAGCTCCTGTGTTCATGAGGTCACCTGGGTGGTGACACTCTAGCAGGGGGGCTTCTGAGACTGGTTGGGCATTTGTCCAGTGGCCTGGGTGGGCTGACCCAGCCCCAGGCTTCCTCCCTGCACCCTTCCCTGACTGGAGGACAGGGCGGGAGTGGATGAGGGGAGAGTGGATGAGGTGGAATTTCTGAGCCCAGCTTGTGGTTTGCTCTCAGCTCTTCTGGTAAAGAATGTAGATTAAATGGCAGCACAGGGGTCTCTGGGAAGGTAATGGGCTTGGGAATCATCCAGACTTGCGTTCAGGGCCTCACCCTGTGCTTTCGAGCCATGTGACCGGATAAACCACTTCACCTCTCTGAAATGCAGGGTTTTCACTGTAGAGTTGGCGATTCTACTTTGAAAGCTCTTACCATGTCAACACATTTTCTACTCAATAAAGAGCAGCTCTTACTGCTGCTGCCACCAGTCTTCTAGAATATGTGTAGTTTAGACTCTAGGTTTTCCTACACTGGGCAGTCCTGGCCTCCAACCAGTCTCGTGCCCACAGCACAGCTTGGCAACCAGGAGGACACCAAGGGCCAGAGGGTCGGGGTAAAGCTTTGTTCTGACGGGCCCTAGAGCTGCCACTCCGCAGGCTTGACTCTGTTTTCTGTGGTGGCTCATCGTGTGAGGTGAAGGTGAGGAGGTCAGAGCCTAGACAGCCAAGGCCCCTGCTCTGCGCACTTGTCCCAGGGGCCTCCTGGCCTGATGGCAGCCGCTGGGACTGAGGGGAGCTGGCTTCTTGCAGGCTCTGCCTCCGAGTGTGCTGGTGAAAGGTGCCTTGCGACAGAAAAAGACTGTCCCCCCTTTCCAGGAGAACAGCTATCATGGTCCGAGTGCTTGCCTGTTTCATCTCCATCTCAGGCCACGGAGCAGAGGGGAGGGTCTGGTTGGGGTTAGGCAGCCTGGCTCTGACTCCAGACTCAGTTGGAACCACCTTGTGGAACATCTGCGAGGCCACAGCACATAAAAATGTTTGCCTTCTGGCAACCACTTTTATAAGGATGTAATAATGTGTGCATTACAAAAATAGGTCTGTTTGTGGTGGTCAGCACTGCCAGCAAGCCGACCCTGGCCAGGTGTGGAGGGGCGTCAACGGGGTGGCAAGGGGGCCATGGAAAGAAGTCTGTGTGCCAGGTCCCGGCCCCACTGCACACCATCCCGCCGCCCTCCCCTCCCCCAGGCCTCAGGCTCAGGTTCCCAACCTAAGTTTAAGGGCCCCTCTTGTGTTCCTGGGGAGTGTATCTGTCCCCCAGCCCAAGCCTTATATTTCCTTTGATTGTCCAGTGGTTTCAACTTTTGTCAGAAGGTCGCTCTTGAATCTGAAGCACAAAGATGGGAACCAAGAGTCTGAGTTGCTGGCGTGACTGGACTTATCTGGTGATGAGCTCTTGGCCCTCTCCTTGGACTGCTGGTTCTCATTTAAAATGGGGCCTTCAGGCTGGGCGTAGTGGTGCAGGAAGATCGCAAGTTCAAGATCAGCCTCATCCTCCAAACTAGACCCTGTCTCAAAACAAAAGGGGGGCTAGGGATGTAGCCATTGGAGAACACCCCTGGTTCAGTCCCCAGTACTCCTACACACACACACACACACACACACACACACACACACACACACTGGGGCCTTCAGTGGCTCAAAGCCCTCACCCTTTCCCTGAGGGGCAGGGAGAACAGGAATCTGCCCTCTGTGTAGAGCTCTGGGGCAGGAGAAAGATGAATTTGCTAGAAGGACAAAGTTCATTTGGATCAGTCCCCTGCAGGCTGCTCCTGAATGGAGCAGCCCCGGATCTGGGCAGTGTAACCATTTCCATGTGGAGAGAGCAAGCGCGCATCCAAAAAGTCCTGTTAGAAACGGGTGGAAGGACACCCTCCTTCCTCCCGAGTGAGCTCCCAGCTCCTGTTCAACAGAACACCCACCAGTTGTCCTGGCAACAGGCTTTTTCTGAGAGAAGATGATCCAACAAATGAGGCTGCCCAGGTGGAGTGTGTATCAGACCTGAGGCCAAGTGGGGGCCCGTGTCGTCTTCGAGTTCCCCTGCACTCACACCGCCCCAGTCTTAGGGGCCCTTTGCAGTCTCCCAGGATCAAGACCCCAGGATCACTCACCAAAGAGTGCCCTGGACAGTTTGGAGCCCAGCAAGGCTGGGAAGCTGATCATTCTAGCGTTCCCCTCCCTCTTTGGCGTTTAACCGGCCTCGGCAGCCGTCCTCCAGAACCAGCCTCTTTGTTCTGTAGAGATTCCATGGCGAAATTTTGGGAGGGCCCTGCCAGGCCACGGGGTCCAGACTGTCACTCAGTAAACTGGGTCCTTCTCTGATAGCATCCTGCTGAGTGAGCACCCCATTTCTCCTCTTAAACCACTCAGCTTTTAAGTGGATGAACTCTGTCTGAGGCTCTCTTAAAAGCCAGTGCCTGCTGGCTGCAGTGACACATCTGTCACCACTACTCAAAAGGCTGATGCTGGAGGATCACAAGTTCATGAGCAGCATAGCGACACCTCATCTTGGGAAAAAGAATACTAAAATTAAAAAAAAAAAAAAAAAAGTTTGTATCTGGATCAGTTTCTAAGCCACATCCTCATCCCTTTTTGTTTTTTATTTTGAGACAGGGTCTCAACTAAGTTACTGAGCCTGGCTTCGAGCTTGCAATCCCCCTGTCTCAGCCTCTCGCTGCATTTACAGATGGACAGGAAGATTGCAAGTTCAAGATCAGCCTCAGCCTCTGAAGTAGACCCTGTCTCAAAACAAAAGGGGGGCTAGGGATGTAGCCATTGGAGAACACTCCTGATTCAGTCCCCAGTACTCCTCCACACACACACACACATACACACACACACACACACAATGGGGCCTTCAGTGGCATATATACACAGTGGAATATTACCACCACCTTGCCCTCCCATCCCTCAGGTCTTGTAGAGTAGTCAGGTCAGCACTGCCATCCCCTAGTGTCCCTGCTCCTCTGGGAGCAAGTACGCCATCAGCCGTCATTTTCAAGGACTGCTGTGAGGGCTGTCGGGTTTATCTGTCCTTGAAGCCTGATATCTGAAGTGCCCCGTTCTTGGCTACCCTCGGCTCACCTGTCTGCTTCTCGGCCCTGCTTACCTGGCTGTGTTCTGCCTTCCCAGCCAGCGGTCACTGACCCTGATGAAGACAGGCAGGAGCAGGTGGGACACATAGTCGTGGACCCCTGAGCACACCGGCCCACCCCTTCCTGTCCTCGGGAGGTGCCGGCCTTGGCTCTGCTCTGTGGCCGTCCTGACTTTTTTCTTTCTGTTTCTTAATTAACTTACTCCAGCTCTCAGATTGTTTTCAGCTGGGTGCAGTGGCACACTCCTGTAATCCCAGCAGCTCGGGAGGCTGAGGCAGTAGAACTCTCTCAGAATTCAAAGCCAGCCTGGGCAACTTAGCAAGACCTTCCCTAATAAAATATAAAAAGGTTGGGAATATGGCTGAGTGGCTAAGCCCCTCTAAGTGTCAGTCCCCAGAATATAAAAAAAAAAAAATTTTTTTTATTTTAACAGTGTGTCCTTATCTTCATTCTAGTGACGTTGAACATTTATATAATTATCCCTTTGCTCAGCAAGGCATAAAGCATAAGACAGGCAAATCAGACAAGTGAGGCTGGCCACAGGGAAACCCACAGTTGGTGGCCAGGTGTTCCGGTCAGGCTGGCCTGTTGTCATCCCCCACCCCCAGCACTTGGTGTTGCTTACTGGTGAGCAGCAGCTTGTGCCTGTACCTGTTAGTAATAGTTTAGAGACAGATAAGAGTGAGCCTCTCCAGGTGACCCTGGATGAGCCAGTACCTGGCAAGGGTGGTCCCCCTCGCCCTCCCTGCTGTGGCGTGGGAGGTATCTGCCCGTCCCAAGGCAGCAAAAAATGTTCTCCTGAAATATCATGTCAGTTTTGCTGGCTGGGCTATTGACCCGAAATTTCAATCGTTTTGTATAGAAATGTGCCCTTATATAGCAGCACAGTTCAGTAGATGAATGGATAAAAAAAAAATGTGGCATATATACACAGTGGAATATTACTCAGCAATAAAAGAGAATAAAATGGCATTTGCAGGTAAATGGATGGCGTTGGAGAAGATAATGCTATGTTAGCCAATCCCCCCAAAAAACAAATGCCGAATGTTTTCTCTGATATAAGGTGACTGGCTCATAATGGGGTAGGGAGGGGGAGCATGGGAGGAATAGACGAACTCTAGATAGGGCAGAGGGGTGGGAGGGGGCAGGAGGTTAACAATGATGGTGAGATATGATGCACATCATCCAAAGTACATGTATGAAGACACGAATTGGTGTGAACGTACTTTGTATACAACCAGAGGTATAAAAAACTGTGCTCTGGGGGCTGGGTTGTGGCTCAGCAGTAGAGCGCTCGCCTGGCATATGCGGGATCCTGGGTTCGATCTTCAGCACCACATAAAAATAAATAAGTGAAATAAAGGTATTGTGTCCAACTTCAACTAAAAAATAAATATTAAAAAACCTGTGTAATATGAATAGTAACTCATTCCACTGTCTTTTTTTTTTAAAAAAATCAATTAAAAAGGGGGGCCCTTACACCTGTGGCTGGCTCCACAGAGCTACCAGCGGGGACTGTGGGCCCTTTGCGAGCCCTCAGAGTTGGGCTTTCTTGGAGCCCCTGCCCTCTCTGATTTGCAGGAATGCTTCTGTCTTTCAGATGGAGAAGGATGAAACTGTGAGCGACTGCTCCCCGCACATAGCCAATATTGGGCGCCTGGTGGAGGTGAGTGGGCCTCTGGCTCCAGGACTCTGGTGGGTTCCCTCGTGCTCACCAGGAGTGGGCTGGTGCCTCTCTCTGGAGAGAATCCTCCACTCTGTCCCGAACTCCGCCACTTCCTGCCGCCCCGCCTGAGGTTTTCAGAGCCTTGTGATTTGGATGCGAGCTCTGGGAGGACTTGCTCTGTCCTTGGCTCTAGGAAGCGCCCAGTCCTGTCTCTGCAGTGAACTGGGTGTGAACAGAGACCTGGGCTCAGGAAGGAAACAGGCCTGGAACTCTGGCGGCCTTGGAGCAGCTTCCATTGTGGCCGCCTTGGCCTCTCCTGTCACCAAGTTGTTTGAAGAGGGGGAAGTGCTCTCCAGTTTCATTGAATTGTTCACAGAAGTGGTGGCCAGGCTGAGGGGTGGTGATGTGGTTTCAACGGCTCCCAGTCATGGTCAGAGTTGGCCGCCAGCCCTAGGATGGGCTTCCTCCAGGACAGGACTGCAAGGCCAGAGCACAAGTCATTGGTGGGGTCTTGGCAGCCAGAGTGGGCTCCCTGTGCTGGTGCGGTGGTGCGCCGCCCCCCTGTGGCCATAATGGGGACTGCAGGCTGAGCCGTTGGCAGGTGGGCGTAGGCCTCAGGCGTCCTTCCTAACTGCTGGCCATGCTGGCTCCCCTCTCTCCCCCCCTCCTCAGGACATGGAAAACAAAATCAGAAGTACACTGAACGAGATCTACTTTGGAAAAACAAAGGACATCGTCAATGGGCTGAGGTAATGTGCCTAAAAGTACAAGTTTTGGAACCAAAAGACACGGGTTTGAGTCCTAGGTCTGCCAGCTGGGCTGGGGATAGAGCTCAGTTGGTGGAGTGCTTCCTCAATGAAAGCCCCAGGTCTGCTAGTGAGTAGCCATGCCATGGGGGGCCTTCTCTTCCTTCACCCCCTATAAGATGGGGCAAAAGTACCTCCCTCTGGGATTGCTGTGCTTGTTCCAGAGGGCACTGCACCCTGGGTACTTTGCACACACACTGACTCTTGGTTCTCGCCTCCACCGTTTTGTTTCTGGACTCACCTTCCTTAACAGCCTTCGGTGCCCTCATCCCTGGAGCCGGGCTCCTCTGAGTGTCTGGCCCATCTAGAGCATGTCCAGGCCCTTGGGTGCTGGAGCCTGAAAGAGCTTCAGCAGCCACACCCCAGGACACGGGAGGGAGTGCTGGCGGTCGCCTCTGGCTGACCCTGGCCCCTGGCTGCAGAGCATGGCATTTGGATAGAGCCCCTCCAGCCTGCACAGGACCCTGGCTGCTCTGTGCCCTGCCAGGCCCTGAGCTGTTCCCACCCATCTCACACCCTGAGTTGTGCCATGTCAGCCAAGCAGAGGCCGGCAAGCTCTCTGGAGACTCGGGGTTCACGGTGGTCTGGGCAGGAGACAGATCCCAGCTGGTGCAGGGGCAGCCATGGAAGAGGGAGCTTCTCCAGACCCCGTCAGCCTGACCTGTGTGACCTTCCACACACTGCTCAGCACCTCCCAGTCAGAGAGGCAGGGTGCAGGGTCAGATGAAGTCTGTGATGGATTCTGCAGCCAGCTCCAGGGGTGGCTGGAGGGTGGCCTTGATGGAGCCCTCAGCCCCTTTCCCTGCCCAGACCTCACAACCCCCTCAGGGGCCAGCTGCCCGGCCTTATGAATTTATCTGGGGAGCACATTTAAGTTGTCTGCAGTTTTAAAAAGAGGAGGAGTCCCCTTTGGGCCCTCACCTTTCCTTCCTGGCCTGTAGCAGGTAGAGCCCAGTGGTCCTGGGGGTCAGACACTACAGCTGATCCTGGCCAAAAGACCGAGAAGCGGACTCCCCAGGTCACGGCTGCGAAACGAGAAGTGGCGCAGTTGGTGTTGTGGGGTGGTTGGTGTGAGCCCCGAGAACCAGGACCACTGCCCGGGTAGACCCGCAGTGGGGACTCCCGCGGCCCCTCCTGTCCCTGCGTTTCCCTGGCTGTTACACCGTGTTCTGCGTTGCTGTGCTCTCGCCCCCTGGCTTCACCCTCTCTGAACACTCTCTGTAGATCTCTTGATGCTCTCCCCGACAACCACAAGTTTAAACAGTTGCAGAGGGAGCTTTCTCAAGTGCTGACCCAGCGCCAGGTCTACATCCAGCCTGATAACTAAGCCAATCCAGGTACCCTGCCTGAAAGGCGTGAGACCCCCACTAAACAGGACTCACCAACCCGCCAACACCCGCCGTCCAGCTGCTGCGCACCCCTTTAAACCACCACTAACCTCCGAGTCCGCTCACGGCCGTGAGCAGCCACATTAACGTGCAGCCTCAGCCCCACGTAACCCGGACACGTGTGATGTGCGTGGCGTGTGTGCACTGTACTCTGGGCGGAGGCCAGGTGTCGGGGAGAGGTGTGATTTGGTTTTTTGCTCCTAAAGAAGCCCAGTCCAGTGACTAGCAGGCCCCTTGTGTGCGCCTGTCCCACCAGCTCAAAGCAGGGGTCTGTGCCCTCTTCTGTCACCTCATGCAGTGTCTCTGGCTCTGTCACCTCACCTCGTGCAGTGGGTGTGCAGCAGGTCCTTCCTTTTCCTTTCCCAGGACCAAGATAAGCCCCAGTCTTAGTGGCACATGGACCTGGAAAGGGTGGCCTCCCTCCCAGTCCCTGTGATCACTTGCCATCCTGGCTACCGCGGGAGCCCCTGGGCACCAGTGCCTGTGGTACCTGGGGTGTCTGGGGTGCCTGGCAGTGTGGCCTCCGCCCTAGCGAGCCAAGGCTATCCTCAGCATTGCGCTGTTGGAAAGGAAAATGGTCTTCTTGTTGGTTAATGGCCAGGAACCACGATGTGTGACAGCAGCCAGCACCCTAGAGAGCGGGGGCGGGGAGGCTGCCTCTAGAAACTAGAAATAAGAGCAGGGGGCTGCGGAGCCCACTTGGTCCAGGGCTGGACACCGAAAGCCTGGCCCAGAAGAGGCACAGGGCTTCCAGCGGGGCTGGCCAGGGCGTGTGCGTGCCAGAGGGGCTGCCCTCCTGCGCTGAGGCCGTGGGCACTGGCTTGAGGTTCATGGTGGCCACAGCTCCAGCCTCAGCTGGGGCCTTCGGGTGGCCTGCTGTGCTCCCAGGAAGCCTTCCATGAGGGGCACCACCCAGTGCCCTTCCCTGGCCACCCACTGCTGGCCTCCTGGCACAAAAAACCTGGTGGGTGGTGGGCACCGGGCACCTGACTGCCCAGAGTGCGTCCTCCTGCTGAATGCTCTGCCTAGGTGACTTTCCCCAGCTCTGCCTGTGAGATGAGCCCCTGCTCTTGGTGCCTCTCGCGTTCTGACTTGCCGTCTCCCACCTGATCCTCCTCTGTGGGGTGGGGCTGGCTAGACTCAGCTCGGGCCTGGCGCGCTCAGCTCCTCCTCCCCAGAAGAGCCGGCCACGCCAGGCCCAGGAGCCCCGCACTGCTGCTTGGCCTCCTTGCCCTCCCACCCCCGCCCTCTGTCCCCGTCCCTGCTGTGAGCTGAGGAAGCTCTTGGTACCAGCTGAGCTTTGGAGACCAGGGCCTGCTGGGGTGGTGCCCTGCCCTGCCCCTGGCTGTGGCAGATCCGGAGGCAGTCCACGGCGACGGGCAGCATCAACCAAACACCAGCGTTTCTCATGGGGACTTTTTTCAGCTGTGTGCAGATGGCTTCTCTTACCAACGCCCCTTCCTGAGGACTCTTTGATTTTCTAGGGTTCGGTAGCCAGAACTCGGGCCGGGGTGCTGTGGCCTCCCGGCCCTGCTCCACCTGGCTACCCCTTCTCAGCACACTCCCTCCCCACTCTGTCACGGTGGGTGGCCTGCAGCAAGACCCTGGCTGAGCACACTGTCCCGCGCTCGCTTCCTCCTGTCCCCACCGCTTCTAAACTGTCACACGGTTGTTAATAATTAGTGAGTTAGTTACTAATGTTGGGCAAATTTGACCAAGTGATCACCCAGGGAATCGCTGTGGGGGGGCATTTCTTGGAGCTCAGTTTCCTTGTGTGTAAATGAGGGTTAATAATGGTGAAGACTCCAAGATGCGTGTGAGGATCCAATGACATGCAGTGTATGAGCAGCACTTTGTGAATCGTAAATGTCTAAATCCCTGTTTCTAGCTTTGCTGAAGTTTCCCCACAGATCCAGGATTGACAGTGGGGGGCCCAGGGCACCCTCCCCCCACCTCCTGGAGCTTGGGTGAGGGCTTTTCTGGGCCGTTAACAGCCGCAGTGCCTCCCAGCAGAAGCCAGAAGCCAGAAGCCCTGCCTTTGCCGTGTGCCCTGATGTGACCGCAGCACACACAGACGAGGGTCCCTGGACACCTGTGGGTGCTGCTGCGCCCTGACTTGCCAGGGGAGCATCCAGCCTCCTGCAGGGCTGGAGTGGAGAAGGGGGAGGCGCTGTAGAGGGCCTCGTGGCCCCTGGCCTGAGTCCACCTCCTGGGGCCGCGGGTCTGAAGCCAAGAGTCTTCACCACATGGTGCTTGGAAGCCGCCTGGTTCCAGAAGGTGTTGCAGACTGGGGTTCTGGTTGCTAGGGCCAGGTCACCCATGGCCCGGGGCAGCGGTGACCTGCCTGTGCAGGTCTCTGGGGCCCAGCAAGGAAAGGGGGTGCAGGTCCCGCAGCTCTGCCCGCTCCGCGCCCTCCAGGCCTGGTCCCTTCCGCATCCTCCTCCCATTCCACCGCTCACAGCACCTTTCCTCCCTTGCAGGTCTGTGCAGACTTTTGCAGACAAATCAAAACAAGAAGCTCTTAAGAACGACCTGGTGGAGGCGTTGAAGAGAAAGCAGCAGTGCTAAACCTCCGCTTTGGCTAACCGGACACGCCATGCACTCGTTAGATTCCTTTCTTAGAAAACTCGTTTTCTGCTCCCTTTCCTTGTCCCCTCCCTCCCCAGCAGGTCACATAACACCTTGCATCATCGACCGCACAGCGCCATCTCTCCCTGAGAATAAAGCCCGATAAACACCCTCCTCTGGCTCCGAGGCCTGCTTCCCACCACATTTTGCTATCGAAACTCTCGATATTTCCATAGAGACCTGTGTTTTCTGTTCACCTGGGCCCCGTCCCCCCCCCATTTATAGGCATAAAATACACTGTCTGTCGGCCACCCCTCCCACCTTTTTTGTTACATTGGTGTAAAAAATGTAAAACAAAAAAATTTTATGAAATAACTGTGGTGTGTGAAAGATAGAAGAAAAACTGGAAATCTGATTCCATGTGTGTTTGGGAGTTGCTTGGGGCTGGGGGTCGGGGGACAGGGCCGGCTCTGGGAGGAGGGGGAGGCGGCCTTGCGTCCTGCGCAGATCTGCCCCTGTCCTGCAGAGACCACGGTGTGGGTGGGGTGACCGTCCTGCTCTTCTGGCCAGGTGCTCTTCTGTCAATTTTTATGGAATGCAAAAGGAGTTTTTTGTTTTATTTTGTTTTTTTTGTAAAGCTTAAACAAACAAAAAAATCTACATCTTATACTTGAGCCTCCATACTTAAAAAAAAAAAAAGGAAAAAAAGAACAAAAAAATAAAAAAGAAACTGGGACGCAGTTCACACTGGCCTTGTTGTGTTTTTTCATCTGCGGACTCCTGTGGAGACCTGGCGCCTGTGGGGGCAGAGGTGGCGAGCACAGTGGGGACTCACACCGGAGCACTCCTGCCCCACCCCAGATCAGCCCTCAGCGTCCTGCCTTCTTGGGAACACAGCAGCTACAGGCAGCCAGCAAGCCCCTACTATGCGCAGGCGACTCAGCCGTGCGAGTCACACTGTGGGGGAAATGCCCCTTTTGCAGATTCAAAGAAATAGACTGTAAAAGTTGAGGGCTCTCCCCTCAAAACCCCACAGCGCTTCAGAACCCGGCTCTCTCCTCTGCGCTGCCTTCCACCCAGTGCCCTGTCACCTACCTTCCTGGGCTTTGAGGCCACTTGATCCTCGCCGCCCCTCATCCAATAAACCCTATTCAGGGCCTGTAGTCCTCAGTCTCGCTAGCTTGACTTAGCTTGTTTTATTATTATTATTATTATTATTATTATTATTATTATTATTATTATTTATTCTTTTGGTTCTGAGCACTGAACCCAGGAGCACTTCACCACTAAGCTATCCTCAGCCCATTTTTCTTTTTTGGGACAGCGTCTGAGTTGCCCTCCTGCCTCAGCCTCCCGAGTCACTGGTTACAGGTGTGCGCCTCTCACCCGGCTGCTAGGTTTTTAGCTTTTTTCACAGCAGCGGGAAAAAAATGAGTAACTGTGAGATGATGAATCCCAAAATGTGTTCTATGTATACCTCAAGTACCTTAAGTGTGCACAATGGCTTCCAGGCCTGGGCTGGGACTCTCCAGCGAGCCATTTCCTCTTGTGTCCAGTAGGGGGCGGCAGCCTCCCGGGGTCGTATTGACACAGTGCCTGGCACAGACGAGGCGCTGAATAAATGGGTCTTCTTGTTTATCAGGTGTGCAGCCTTGTGACCAGACATTCGAAACCCAGAAATTGTGACGTATGACAGGACTGATCTTGCTCTGCCTTCTGGAGCCTTCCAAGGAGCCACCACTGCTAGTTTCTTGAGGCTAAATCAAGTTTGTGAGATTGTGGACAGTGGGCGCTGATAAAGGGTTTCTTAGATGAGGGGCAGCAGGGATCGAGTAGCCAAAGAGGAGAGTTTGTAGCCTGGCCTAGGGCCACCTCTGCTACCTCCCGGCCGCTCCTTTCCATGCCCCTTCCTTGGTTTCCTCAGTGGCTGAGGTCCCAGCAGGAGCCATCCTAAGAAATTCGTTTTAAGAAAATGCCCTGTAGCAGCTGGGTCCATGGGCTTAGGGACAGACTCCTGGGACTTAGCAGCAGAGGCATGTCCTCCACCCCATGGGTCACTAGATAGCGCCTAGAAGTGCCCCGGTGGCACTTGGCAGAACAGGAGACAGCCTTGTCAGGGTGTGGTGGCAGGAGCCCTGGCCCTGAAGCCAGCAGCCTGCCTGCACCTCCGGAGGGGTGAGGGCTCAGGTGGACGGCCCTGGGGTCTCCAACCCTTCCCCTCCCGCTGCAGCAGCCTAGACAAATCAGCCACAGGGGCCCTATCTGGGGTGGCCCTGAGGCCTCGGGCCTCCCTGGCTCTGCACATTCACTAAGCAGCTGCTTTGTGGCAGCTCTGGCTCCACCTCCAAGGGCACGGGACCCTGGCTGCTGGCAGGCCTTAGACATTTTGCTGCCTGTGCACCATGTCACCTCCACACACCGCAGAGGAGAGAGTCCTGGAGCCTCCTTGGTTTCTGTCCTTCCAGACGTGGAAGCCTCCCCTTCTGCCACCTTCTGTGACAGTTCACAGCCCATGTAGCTTCCTAGGCTGTTTGCTGAGTGAGGGGCACTCCAGTTATCAGGGAGCCCTAGGGGACTGGGGGAAGGAGTGTCCTGCCTGACCACCTACTCTTCGCGGTCACAGGGCTGGAGGCTGGCATTGAACCCTCACGAGCCAAAGAGGCACACAGGACTTCTCCCTGTGAACAGGTCCGGGGCAGGTGGTCAGAGGGCAGCCCCCGCTGCTCCATTCCACAACCAGACTTGCCCCACACCTGGCTGCTTGCTCAGTGCCCAGCAGGCCCCTCATGCCCACTTCTGAGTTCCAAGAACTGGCTTTTTCTTCTCTCTGTAACTGTTGCTGTTTTGGTGCCGGGGATGGAACCCAGGGCCAAACATAAGTCATGTAGATATTTGTTGTAGCTTTCCACTGCTGTGACTAAAAGAGCCCAACCAGAACAATGTACAGGAGAAAAGGTTTATTTAGGGGCTCACAGTTTCAGAGGTCACCATCTATAGGCAGCGGCTCCCTTCTTTGGAGCTTGAGGTGAGGCTGAACATCATGGCGGAGAGTGTGGAGGAGGGAAACGGCTCACATCGTGATCAGGAAGCAGAGAGACTCCACGCTCAGATACAAATGTATACTCCCAAGCCACGGCCCAATCCCCACCTCCCCAGCCACACCCACCACCCCAGCCACCACCCAGTTAATCCCATCAGGGGGACTAAGTCACTGATTGGATTAAGATTTTCACAGTCCGGTCATTTCTCCTCTGAACCTTCTTGTATTGTCTCATGTGAGCTTTTGGGGGACACCTCACATCCAAACTATAACAATATTATAAATATTATAAAAGTTAAAATAAGTTTAAACACCCTGCTTTATGTTCTCAACAGAACTAAGATTTTTAACACCCGCTGCAGGAAAACCACATTACTTAATCACAGGCTGTTAAATCTGTCAAACTGGACCAGTTAGCTACAAATGTTTTGAGAATTTGTTACTGATCTGCTTTGATTTATTTATTTATTTATTTTACTTTTAGTTGTAGATGGACACAATAGCTTTATTTTATTTATTTATTTTTATGGTGTGCTGAGGATCGAACCCAGGGCCTCATACATGCTAGACAAGCACTCTGCACAGAGCCCCATTCCCAGCCCCGTTGTTTTAAGTTTTTGAGGCAGTTCTTACTATGTTGCCCAGGATGACCTTGAACTCCTAGTCTCAATGTCCTCCTGCCTTAGCCTCCTGAGTAGCTCGGACCACATTCTCACAGATGTTGCAGTTTACTGTGAAGTTAATGATCAATTTATTAAACAGATGGTTCTTTAGCCCAAACTAGTCTGTGCTATCGTTTTCTTGATTTACAGTTTGGTTATCATTTCTATCTCTCCTACTCTATTCAGTTACCTTTTTAAAAAGACAAAGTTCAGAATATCAGCATCATTTTATATAAACTTATAAATCAAGTTTCTGAGCCAGATGTGGTAGTACATAACTGTAATCCCAGAAATTCAGGAGGCTGAGGCAGGAGGATTGCAAGTTTGAGACCAGCTGGGTGATTTAGCAAAACCCTCTCTCAGAAAACAAAAAGGGTTGGGAATGTAACATAGTGGTGGAGTATCCATGGGTTCAAGCCCCAGTACCAAAAAAAAAAAAAAAAAAAGGAAAAAAAATACATTCTGAAATATACTTAAATGTGGTATCATATTTTAAAGGTCTTATCCGAATTTCCCATTCTTATTTTCTGTCATTTAAAGTATTTCTTCATAGATGAGCACTCCCATATCACTGTCTCTGCCTCTTTTGTGAAACTTTTTAATCTGGAATAAGTGCTCAATAAATGGTCTGTAGAAGTCAGGCTTGGTGGCACACACCTGAAATCTCAGCTATTCCGGAGGATGAGGCAGGAGGATTGCAAAGTCTGAGGCTAGCCCAGGCAATTTAGTGAGATCCTGTTTCAAAATAAAAAAATAAAAATGGCTGGGTGCAATGACACACACCTGAAATCTCTTCAGCTTGGGAGGCTGAGGCAGGAGGATCCCAAGTTCAAGGTGAGCCTCAGCAATTTAGCAAGACCCTAAGAAACTTGGCAAGACCCTGACTCAAAAAATAAAAAGGGTTGGAGATGTAGCTTATTTGTAGGGCCCCTGTGTCCAATCCCCAGTTATGTAAAATAAATAAATACAGCTCTGTAGAATGAGTAAACTATATCATATGTATGTATCCCTTTGAGCTTTTAGAAGTAAATGAAATCTTTACTTCTCTCTAGCAACTAATTGCCCACATTCTTCTGCCTACATAGCTGGCCTTCAGATTACTTAGGACTGTATCTGGGTAGAATTGTCACAGGAAGTAATTATATTCTCATTATCCTGAACTTCTCACTCAAATACTTTGATGGACTGTTAAGCATCCACTTATTCACCATTTATTGAACACCTACTAGGTACTGGGGATACAATGGTGAACAGGTTAGATGGTCTCTGTACAGTCCTGTGGGGGTAGGGAAGTGGGCACAGTGGAGGTGACTGTGTCCTCCGGGCTGTCACAGGGTTGAGGGACTAATCCACACTGACAGGCACCCCACACCGCGCTCAGGGCTAATTGCGATGCCGACTGGCTTAATGCTCTCTCGTCTAGCTCAGGACCTGGCTGTTTCCCTGAGAACCTCTGAGGTCCTGCCATCTTGCCCTGATGAAGCCAAGTCCCACCAGAGAGGGGCAGAAGGGGGTGAGTTGTGGACTTCACGCCTTCCCGCAGAGTGGGAGAGCTGAAGGCCGTGTTGTCTTAGGTGTCCCCAAAAGTTCTCAGGTGCCATAGATGACCAACCAACAGGCCTCATTCCCCGGCTGCTGGCCAGCTCCTCCTGCCCCTGACCCCACCCAGGGACTTGGGGGAGGCAGCAGGCTGTGGAGCACAGGGCCAGACACTTCCACAGACCTAGCCTGCCAGGGTAGGGACATGCGGGGTGACCGGCCTCGCCTCAGGCTCCCACGCACATCCTGAGGGAGACCCTCCTCCACAAGGACCACTGGTAAGGACGGTTCCATTTCTGTGGCTAAGCCTGGCCTGAAGTCAATGCCCACACGTCTGCCTGGGGATTTGGCAGGGAGTGGGGGCTCTTGTCCCATCAGGCCCCAGCCTTGCCCAAGGACAAGAGGAGAGAAGGGAAAGCCACGAGGGTCGGGCTCTGAACTCCGACCCCACGGCGGTCAGCAGGGCCACAGCAGTGTGGAGGTGTCCCACCAGCTGGGCTGGCCTGGGAGGAGCCGGGAGCTTCCAGGATGGCTGAGCTGAGGCAGCCTGTCCACCCCGCTCCTGCGCAGGCCAGGCGCTGGGCAGCTCACAGCGCGGCCCGTTTTATCATCGCAATTGTGTTCTGAGGCACAGGGCGCCACAGCTGGTCCCACAGGATGAAGCAACCAAACCTTGGGACGTCTTTCCAGGTCACAGGCCATAGAGGGGCCTGCCTGGGACTCAGGACGTCAGACCTCAAAATCTGTGCCCCACACTGCCCTGCCACTCGCGTGTCACCAGATCCCCCCACCAGGGCATGGAACATGAGGCCCTGGGGCAGGTCACCCGGCTCCTCCAACCCCAGAGCCAGCTATATACCAGGCTTGCTTTCTTTTTCTTTTCTTCTTTTTCTTTTTTTGTACCAGAGATTGAACCCAGGGGTGCTCAACAATTGAGCCACATCCCCAGCTCTTTCTTATTTATTTATTTAGTTAGTTAGTTAATGCACACACTTTGTTTTTTAGTTGTTGATGAACCTTTATTTTATTTATATGCAATGCTGAGAATCGAACCCAGTGCCTCACTCATGCTAGGCAAGTGCTCTACCACTGAGCCACAACCCCAGGCCCTGAGCCCTTTTTCATATATATATTTTGGGAGGGGGTACTAGGGATTGAACTCAGGGGCGCTCAACCACTGAGCCCCATCCCCAGCCCTATTTAGAGACAGGGTCTCACTGAGTTGCTTAGTGCCTCACTTTTGCTGAGGCTGGCTTTGAACTCACGATCCTCCTTTCTCGGCCTCCCGAGCCACTGGGATCAAAGGTGTGCGCCATCGCGCCAGCCCAACTGCATTCGCTGCACTGGAGCAGCAAATGAGGCCTCCAACGTTGAGGAGGCCAGTTGTGCCCCAGCTGCCCACAGGGGCAGGGATAACGCCTCCTCCATCACACAGGGCACTCCCCGGGGACAGGGGCCACCCCCCGCTCCATAAGACTGGGGCTTCCTGAGCCGAGGGAGCCACAGCTCTCAGCAAACTGGACACCTGAAAGCAGGAGCGCCCCCCATCAGCCTGGGCACTTCCCAGAGGAAGGGACAATGACGCTCCCACTAGACGGGGGCTTCCCGAGGCCGGGCTGTGGTTTCATTTTCTCTCCCCTGCCCAGCTCTAGTCGGGCCTGCCCTTGGGTTCATGCTGCTACACTGAGCACCGGGTCTTCAGGCCGACAGGGTGCCACCTGGCCCCAGGGGAGTGGCATGGAGCCCTGGATGGAGCCACCTGTCCGGCTGGCGGACGGCACCTGAAGCAACCTTGAGCTGTGGCCAGCAGTGGCCGGGAGCACCCTCCCCTGCGGTCCAGAGACTCACGGAAAGGCCGCCCAGATTGGAAGGGGGACTGAGCCCAGCAGAGTAAGGCTGGAGGGCACCGCCACACCAGGACCCCCGGCCAGGGAGGGAGCGAGAGCCCCGCTGCAGGCCTCGGCTCCAACCGGGTGAAGAAGGCCACTGTCAGCCGAGGGCCTAATGTGTCACCCAGGGGACACTCCCAGCTGGGCAACCTTAGGCAAGTCACCCAACTCCTCTTTCCCGTCATTCCACCTGTCACAGGGCGCTGTGGCATGGACTGGGGGCTGTGAGGGTGACATCGAGGCACGCGGCCTGGCAGTGCTCAGCAGACCAGCTGCATGGCCGACGGCACACTAGCTCCACAGCACCTTCCAGATGGGGCTGGGGACACTGGCCATTCCCGCTCTCACGGCCCACCTGGACCCCAGTCCTCTCCTCACTCTCCCCGGCCACAGAGGTTCTCCCCAACCAAACCCTGTCCACCCAAGAGCTACCTGCACAAGCCCTGTCCCCAGAACCTGGTCCTTGTCCTCAGCCTAGGTCTGGCCTGCGTTCAGGAAGGCTCTTGGTAGGTGGGAGCGGCCCAGGCCCCAGCCCCAGGCCTTGCACCTGCCCCCGCCCCCGGAATTGGCTTCAGCTGGAGGCCGGGTGCAGGGGCGCATGCCTGTAGTCCCAGCTGCTTCGGAGGCGGAGGCAGGAGGGTTGCAAGTTCAGGCCCAGTCTCAGCAGTTTAGGGAGACAGCCACAACACCCTGCTCTTCCCCTGATGCCTGTCACCACCTCCAGGAGGCCACCCTGTCTCCAGAGAGACCTGACTGTCCCTCTTTTCCAACTGAAAATCACCAAGGCTAACCTTTGCTGAGCAATTACTACATACCAGAGTTTGGAGCTAAACTCCAAACTACACTATCTCCTTTAATCCTTAAAAGGACATATGAAGCGGTGTCACTGTCACCCCATTTCACAGAAGAGGTCACTGAGGCACGAAAAGCTAAGAGGCCAACCGAGCTGAACCCTAACTATTCTGCTTCTTCTGAGCACCAGGAACAAGGACCCCACTGATGTGATTCTCACTCCTGCGTCCCCACTATCAAGGTGGGGTGGGTCACAGAGAGGCCCAGAGATGCAGGTTAAAGGAACAAGGGACCCCAGGAGGCTGGGTCAGGACTGTGGGCAGATGTGTCCCCTCCGGCCCAGCTCATACTGGGTCCCCATCCACCATGTTCCTCAGAGCAGCCCAGGCCCCTGGCACCTGGGGAAGGAGCAACAAAAACAGGTGGTTCTGGGAAGTACCGTTTACTAGGTCATCTAGTGGACTGTCCCGGGTCCACCTGCTGCAGCTGTGGCCCCAGTGTGCAGGCAGAATGAGGTAGGTGGCTGGAGGGGCGACGCGCTGTCTTCTGAGCCCTGAGCTCTCTGCGCAGCCCCTCCCTTGAAGCTTCCTGGGACAGCTGCCTTGGACCCGGGAAGTGTGTTTCCAGGGTGGCTGGGTGGCCCCGGGACTGTCTTGCTTCTAGAAGAGTCAGTCAATCTGGTGGGGAGACAGTTGGGCCGGGAACTCTAGGCCCCCCCCCAGGCTGTCACCAGGGCCCAATACAGGGGCAGCAACACCTCTCACTTCCTGGGCGTGGCACCTGGAGGTCCCTGTCCTTCTGAGGTACAGGTCAGCTGGGGAGGAGGGGCTCATGCTCTGAGGAGGTGGGGTGGTTCCTGTACATCAAGAATTGGACAGAGATCTGAGGGCTGCCGTCAAGGCTAACGGAGCAGGAGCTGTGGCCCATGTCCCCTCTTCTCACCCTCCCTCGGTACCCCCTCTCGCAGGGGAGGGGCCAGGCGGGACCCCCGGCCCTGGCTCTTGCTGTACCCTCCCCACTGCCTGCTGTCCTGGCTCCCAGTGCCCAGCCACACTCCACTCGTCTCCGAGTCCAGCCAAGGCCTTCCTCAGGTGGCCTCGCAGGCCCAGGACCTGCTGTCCAGCCACCCTACAGCACCCTGGGGTGCACCAAGCGGCTGGGCCATTTGGGGCCACTAGAGCTTGATTTTTTTTCCTTATCACATCCTGCAGGGACTCAGCAAATGTTAAAACAAGGCCCATGTTTCCTTTCTCCCAAATAATGTCCTGTTCTGCCATTCAGCAAATATTCACTGAGCACACACTGACTGCCAGGTCACGTGGGGAGTTTTCAGATATCTGACATCATCACCCATTATCCTGGTGAGACAGCAACTGTGAACTTAGACGAGGATATGGGGACACAGGTGGATGGTCTGCGCTGTGTCACACAGCTATGAAGTCGTGGAGGAAGCAGGATTTGAACCTAGGGTTTCTGACTCTAACTCCCGTGGGGCTCCATGTTCCAGCTTGTATTCCCCTGGCCTGGATGGAGCCCTCTTTTCTATTCCTCAGGCCCTTTGCACAGCTGTGCCTGGAACTCTCCTTCCACACCTCTGCCTGACCGACGTCTCCTCCCTCAGGCCAGCTCAAATGCCAGGGCAGTCCTGAGGAGAGCACTCTTGCCATCTTTCTCTGCAGCTCTTGGTATCACTGCAAGGAAGTAACTAACTGACGATCCTGTGTGTCCTGCCTGGCTCTCCACTGAGCTCTAAGGGTCACCAGGCAAGGGCCATTCTGTTCTTGCTCACTAATGAATCTGGTGCCTGGCAGACAGGAGGTATAAACTCTAGAATGGATTAATACGAGGAGGGAGGGAGGGAGGGATGGGTGGATGGGTAGGTTGATGGTAGGTGGGTGGTTGATGGGTAGGTGGGTGGATGGATGGGCAGATGGGTGGGTGGGTGGGTGGGTGGGTGCCAGGTTGCCCAGGTAGGTGGGTAAATGGTGGGATGAATGGCTAGGTAGATGGGTAGACAGGTGCTGAAGCTCGCCCCCCGCTGCTCCCCAGCCCTGGACACCTAGAAGGATATAACAGTGTCAAGCAGCAGCACGCCCAGGCTGCCCACGAGCCAGGGCAGGTGGTGCAGCAGGTAGCTGCCCTCGCTCTGGCCGACCTCGGGGTTTTTGAGCAGCACACTCAGTCCATACAGCGTGTTCCCCAGCATCACCAGCGCGAACAGCGAGTAGGAAATGCCCTGGGTTGACTTCCGTAGGAACTGGGGGCCAAGAGGGCTGGGGTTAGAGACATCAAAGACGGCTCTTGTCACTCTAGACCGTAACTGTCCACGTGTCGGTCTGCCCTGTATTACGACACTCTGAGCGGGTTTTTCACCGTGTGCCCAGCACCCAACATGTGCCTGGCATACAGACCAGCCATATCCAGGGCCAGACACCTCATCCTCGCTCCAACCACTTGACCCAGACCCTACCCGTGACTGGCGGCCCCGGGGTCCTCACTCTCCAGCCCTGCCCGGACTCCTGGGGCCCGCCAGCCTCCTCACCACTGCCCTCACCTTCTCCCCTCAGCCTCCAAGCCTAGCTCCTCCCTCTCGTGTGACCTCCAATTGCCCTGGGACACACATGGGTCTCATGCAGCCCTCCATGGCGGCCCTCACATGCCCATTTTCCAGAGGCAGAAACTGAGGCAGAGAGTGGACGTGACTCGCCCAAGCCAACAGTGAGGCTGGTCCCAGACCATCTGAATAAAAATTCCTGCACCAGGCTCCTTCTTAACCCAGGAGAGCTGCTCCATTCCCTGGCACCCGCCCACCCCTACTCGGGGCTCACGTTGGTGCGGATCTGGGGCAGCCTGGACAGCAGGTACAGCACGCTGGAGATGGAGCCGATAACAAAGCCAATGATCTCCTGTTTCGTGAAGGGCTGGGTGGGGGCAGAAGAGACTGCTCAGTGGCTAGTGGGAGCTGCAGGTGCAGAGAGATCCCTCCCAGAGGGTGATTCCCCCACCCCACGTGACCATGCAGCGGGGAGCCCACCCACTGTACCACCACTAACCCCACCTCACCTTATTGCCTGGCTCCACAGACAGGAGTGTCCTCCCCCGGAAGACCTCCCTCTGGGCAGCCACAGGGCTGGTGCCCCTCAGTAGTGGCATGGTACACACGGTCCCCAAGATGAACAGGAGCACAGAATTGATGGGCGCAGATACTGGTCATGAGGCAGAAGAGAAAAGCCAAGGTTAGGGATCTGAGTGGCAGTAGACAGACTGGGATAGAGTCCCAGCCTCGCCCCTAAGCTTTTAGGTACTGGGTGGCCTTGGACAAGTGACCTAACCTCTTTGAGGGTTTGTATTTTTATTTTTCTTAATACCATTGAGCTATATCCCCAGCCTTTCTTATTTTTTATTTTGAGACACAGTCTCATTAATTTGCTTAGGGCTTTGCTAAGTTGGAAAGGCTGGCCTTGAACTTGTGATCCTCCTGCCTCAGCCTCTTTTTTTTTTTTTTTTTAAGAATTTGACCTTTATTTTATTTGTTTTTATGTGGTGCTGAGGGTCAAACCCAAACCCAGGGCCTCCCTTGCTAGGCAAGTGCTCTACTCCTGAGCCACAACCCCAGCCCTGCCTCAGCCTCTTGAGTTGCTGGGATCACAGGCACGTGCCACCACTACCAGCTAACTCGCCTTTTTGAGTTTTAATTCTTCATCTGTAGATTAGGTAGAATGACAGTACCTTCCTCAAGGTGAAATGACGGTAGCAGGGGGCGGGGGGGGGGCAGTTAGCACAAACAGAGAGGCCAGTGAGTCTCAGTGCCCTCCTAGGCGCCTCCACTGTCTCCGTAGTGACCTGTCTATAGTGCCTTCTGAGTCCTGCTGGGCAGAGGTTCCCAGCTCCAAGGCTGGGGCCAGCCAGGCACAGAGGAGCGAGGTCATGTTTGCTGAATGAGAATTCAGTGAAGTGACCCTCCCTGTGGTCTGGGCCGGATGTGTTCGCGCCCTGACCTTCCATCTTGTTTAATTGAGGTCCAGGCTTCTAGATAAGGCCTGTGTGCGGTCGGTCAGTTTTATCAGCCTGCAGTGGGAACCCTGCTTCCTCCCCCGCCCCGGGCCCCCCGGGCTGCCAGCAGAGCTCCTGACCAGAGCAGCCGCTACTCACAGAGAGAGGGCCGCTTCTTGAACTTGTAGTGGAAGTACAGCGTCAGCATCATCAGGTCGGCCAGGACGTAATAGATAGCTGTGTAGGTCTGCAAGACAAGGGGCAGGGCCCTGGCGCTGGCTGCGGTCCCAGGAGACTGCTGCAGCCCAGCTGGGGGACCTGACTGCGTCACTTCACCTCCCTGAGCCTGTTTCCTCACCTGGAAAGGAGTCACCTACCCTGGCAGGAGAGAGCAGGCCGGCCGCGGGACCCTCTAAACATCCAGCCCCGGCAGGTGCCAAGGATCCACGGCTGGCGCTACCAGGACAAAACAGAACTCGGGGGTCACGTGATGCCTTGGTTTAGCCATGAGAGCAGTCGAGGCCTTATGGTCCCTCTTGGGAAGACACTGTCTTCCTGTGATTCCCAGTTCTACCTGGCCACAGGTCATGATGACATCTGGGGTTCCCAGAGACTTCATTTCCTCAAGGGCCCCACATCCAGAAAACACGAAGAGCCCTGGGTTTGGTAAACTCATACTGCAGATGGGGAAACTGAGGCCCAGAGAGGGCAGTGACTTGCCCACTATCACACAGCACGGCAGGCAGAAGGCTCTGTCTAGGTGTGGGGTCAGGATTCTGAAGCCTGGACCTCTTCTGCTAGCTGCCCCAAGGCCTCTCTGCCAGGGCTGTCCTTAGCTGCCCCACCTGCCCAGGGACCTGCCCACCTGCAGGGGCAGCTGGTCAGCCAGAAAGGAGCCGATGAGGTTGCAGGAATCTCCGCCAATCCAGCCGAGGAGGAACCACAGGGACAGGGCCTGGTCCATGTTGCCGGTCTTGCAGGCCTTGATGTACTGGCTATGGAAGAGGAGGGGACACAGCTCAGAGGCTGGGGGCTGTGGAGCCGCCTTAGAGGGCCAGTGAGGGAACCTTCCCCAGAAGAGGTGACTGACCGTGGTACAGGGAGGCAGAGGCAGCAATGGCCAGGAGGCCGCCCAGGAGCCCATCCTTCCTTCCTTTCTCTGCCCTTCAGAGGATTTCTACGGGGCACCCTCTTCTGGCCTGAGAGCCCTAGGGCTGCGCATCTTCTGGAGAGACCCCAGCACTTCTCAGGATCCCCTCCACAGGACCCTGGGGTCCCTGGGAACGTAGGGTTCTAAAGTTTGTGTCAGGCCCTAAGGACAACTTCATAGGTTCCCTGGATGCTCTGTTTTTTGGATCAGGACAGGGGGGTTGGAAGCAAGATGGCATTGGTGGCCAGGCCCAGGACCCTGGAGCACTTGATATGACAGGCCAGACCACAGCCTGACTGTCCTCAGAGGGCCAGCGAGGAGCGCAGGCAGGGATCCTGCCACTCTGGAACAAATGTCCCAGGCTTTTGCTTCCCTGGATGTTTTCCCAAAGGTCACTGGTGTTGGGACCCTTTCTCTGGAACTGTGATCGGGTGGTAATATGAGCCCAAATCCCAGCGTGAGCCAGTGCTGCCACAGAGGGTCACAGGGCTCAGAGCCCTTTGTGCGTATTAGCGCCTCCAGTCCCCATAGCCCCCATGAAGTCAGGTCTATCATGGTCCTTGTCCCGGGGACCGCAGAGGTCATGTCACACGGCTTGGATTCCCACCCCGACCCAAGCCATTTGCTGCTCAAACTTCCCCTACCCGCCCCCCCCGCCCCAGTGCTGGGGAGGGACCTGGGGCCTCCCACGTGCTGGGCAAGACCGTCACCGAGCTGCACCCTCAAGACCTCAAGCTTCTTTTGAATCATCTGCAAAGAGGAAAAAAGGAAGGACCAGCAAAGAAGAGAAGAGGGGGCTCGGGTGGCTCCATGATGGGGCCTGTGCGAGGCCCTGGGTTCCATCCTCAGCACCAAAAAGAAAAGGAAAGAGAGAAACTAAACGGCCTCTCATCCACCCGCTGCCCAAGCCCAGACCAAGAAAGCCGGGCCTGGGCCTGGCCCTTGCCACCCCCACGTCTCTTACAGCCCCCACTCCCCCCAACTCTCCAGGTCTAGCCAAGTCGGTTCCCCTCAAAGCCACCCTTCCTCTCGGGGATTTTTCTAAAACCCCGATCTTGCCAAAAGCAGCTGTCCAGTGTTCTGCTCCTCAGTAAGGACCACCTCCTGTGGCACCTCCCTGCAAGGCCCTGGAGGACCCCACCCCGACTCAGGGCTGCCTTCCCTTCACCTCAGGATGGCCTGCAGGCCCCCTCGGGGAAGGGACGGGACTGGACGGGACGCCTCTTCGTCTTTCACGTCTCAGAAATAGCTCCTCCCTGGGCTTCCTCCTCAGGAGCCCTGCAGGCCCCTTCTCCTCCCTCTTACCCAACAGCCCCATCCCTCCTGGACTCAGGGGCAGCTGCCAGCAGAGGCCCAGGAGGGAGAAGGCCCTGGATGAAGGCTTACCCCCTGGCCCTCAGGCGCCTCCTAAGATGCTCTGACTTGGTTGTCTCATAAACTGCAGGAGAGTGACTTTGTCCACCCAGGGGACCCAGAGTCCTAGGAATAACTAGGAGGTGGCTGCCCTTCCGCTGTCACTTGGGGCTGCCTCCACAACCTCCAACCCCCTCACTGGTTAATCAGCCAGGCCCAGGCAGGAAGCGGAAGCCCCAGGAGCTCCCCAGATACTGCTGGGCAAGTTCTCCGGGGGACAGGTGGCCTCCCCAGCCTCCATCAGTCACCCAGCCCCGTGCAGGGTTCCTCCTGTGGCCCCTATCCCCCCCCACACTGCTCACTGAGCTTCCTGGCCCCCAAGCTCCAGGCTCTCCCATCCTACTTCCCTAGATGCTCTGCAGAGGTAAGAATGCGTCCTTCCGGCTTCCCATGCCGCGGGTCACATGGCACCTGGGAGCAGGTGACTCAGCAGAATGGAAGCCTCCAACAGGGCACTGGGGTGATTCAACAGGGAAGGGACAGTCTGTTCAACACACAATGCTGGGACAACTGGAAATCCACAGGTGTAAGAATGAAGATGAGCCCCTACCTCACACCATATATGAACTGTAACACAAACAGATCAAACAACCAAACGTAGGTCACATCTGGAAACCTCTTAGAATAAAAGGCCCAGTCTTTGGTACTTGGATTAGATATGACACCAAAAGGAGAAAAAAAAACAAACATAAAGTAGACATCATCAGATACCACGGCACATGCACGAGGACAGCTGTGATAAAACCACACAGTGCCGGGTTCTGAGGAGGATCTGGAGACAGTGGATCCCAAATACTGCTGGGGGGAATGTGAAACGAACAGCCCATTGGAAAAACAGTCCAGCAGTCCTCAAAAGTTTAAACAAAGTTAGGCTGGCCATGGTGACAAACACCTGTGATCCCAGTGACTCAGGAGGCTGAGGCAGGAGGATCGCAAGTTCCAGGCCAGCCTCAGTAACTTAGCAAGGCCCTCAGCAACTTAGCCAGACCCTGTCTCAAAATAAATAATAAAAGCTGGGCGCGGTGGCACACGCCTGTAATCCCAGTGGCTTGGGGAGGGCGGGGCGGAGGCAGGAGGATTGTGAGTTCAAAGCCAGCCTCAGCAATTTAGTGAGGTGCTAAGCAACTCAGTGAGACCCTGTATCCAATAAAAAATATAAAATAGAGCTAGGGATGTGGCTCAGTGGTCGAGTGCCCAAGTTCAATCCCTGGCAACCAAAATAAATAAATAAATAAATATTTATTTATTGTGGCCCAGCACAGTAGCACCCTTGCACCCCGCCCCCCCCAAAAAAAGATTAAACAGTTACTATTTGACTCAGTAATTCTAATTCTAGGAAAATTACTCAAGAGAAGTAAAAACATAAATCTCCACTAACACTTGTATATGAACACACATACAACAAGAATCACAGTAACTAAAAAGGGCAATGATTCCAATGTTCATCATGGATGAATGCATGAACAAAATGTGGTATGTACATAGAATGGAATATTATTCAGCTATAAAAAGGACTGAAGTACTGATACATGATACAACATGGATGACTAACCTTCCTTCCCTCCCTCCCTCTCTTCTTATCTCCCTCCTTTCAGCTGAACCCAGAAGTACTTTACCACTGAGCCACAACCACAGGCCTTTTTATTTTTTATTCTGAGACAGCATCTCACTTAGGGCCTCACTAATTTGCTGACGCTGGCCTTGAATTTGATCCTCCTGCCTTGGTCTCCCAAGTTGCTGGAATTGAGATTGCAGGTGTGTGTCACTGAGCCTAGCTTCTCTCTTCTCTTCTCTTCTCTCTCTCTCTCTCCCCCTGTCTCTCTCTCTCCCCTATCTATCTATCTATCTATCTATCTATCTATCTATCTATCTTCCTCTGAGACAGGGTCCAGCTATGTTGCCCGAGCTGTCCTTAAATTCCTGGGTTCATGTGATCCTCTAGCCTCAGCCTCCCAAGCAGCTGGACAAGAGGCGGGCACCCCTGCACCAGCAACACAGATGAATCTTGAAGACCTTACTGAGTGACAGAAACTAGTGCCAAAAGTCACACACTGTATGATTCCATTTAAGTCAATGATGAAATGTCCAGCTCAAACATCTCCGTTTGCATCCTAAGTATTGTTGTATTTTATTGACTTTTAACAATCAATTTGTTCCTCTCTCTAATATTAGTGACTCAGCACATCAATTTAAAAGGACTGTGTCCTGGGGCTGGGGCTGTAGCTCAGTGGTAGAGTGCTTGCCTCACATGTGTGAGGTACAGGGTGGGATCCTCAGCACCACATAAAAAATAAATAAATAAAGATATTGTGTCCATCTACAACTAAAAATGTTAAAAAAAAATAAAAGGACTGTGTCCTGATGGATGGAGAGTTTAGATCTCAGCAGGATTCTCTTTCTACTAGATGCCATGAATTGAGAATGAACATTAGGATTGGAGTGTGGGCTGGGGAGAGGGTGGGACACAAGGGTGAGGGATTGCCAGAAAAGACATCATGAGGGCTGGGGATGTGGCTCAAGCGGTAGCGCGCTCGCCTGGCATGCGTGCGGCCCTGGTTCGATCCTCAGCACCACATACAAACAAAGATGTTGTGTCCGCCGATAACTAAAAAATAAACATTAAAATTCATTCTCATAAGGATGTTTAAAAAAAAAAAAAAAAAAGACATCATGAAGGGTCCTTAAGCCCGCAGGAATTTATGGGATAATTTCCATCCTTAAAAGAGTTCTTTGAAGGTTTTCATGCTTTCTTGTTACTAGCAGGGTCTTCTGTTGAAATAAGATAATTTTTGTGTTTGTGTACCCCAGAAGAGCAAGATAAAAAAACACAGCCATATTAGCACCATCATTTTAAGGTATCAAACTAAACAAAATGAGGTTCTGAGTGAAGGGACACAGAAAAGTGGCAAACTTTGCAAATGACGTGGATCAGATACATTGTTAAATATTATTATGTGAATGATATTTATATGCTTAACACAAGTATTTGTATAAGATACTTACATAAAACTTGACAAAGGCAATAAAATTTTACTGGCCTAGTATGCAGGGGAACAGAGCTACCATTAGAAATTTCTGGATTAGAAGCAATTCGTTAATTACATGAAGCATGAGGTGCCTGAATCTAAAAATATTCCCAAGCTTCATAAATTAAGGGGCTCATTTTTTTTTTCTGAAAAAACAACAAAATCAAGGGACAAAATTCAGGGCATATAATGAAGATGCTGCTATCTTGCTATCTAGTTTCATTAAATAAAAAGATTTATGCAAATATTAGATATTAAAATATACATATGTTTCATGGGTTTCATTATCCAACCCTCCCCATAGCACAATTTCCTTGAAAAATGCTTATCTTATTGAGTTATTATCCAGGTTTATATCCCCATGGGGTTTAAGGAGAGGCCTAGAAAGTTTGATAAACACTTAAAACACGGCTCCTCTCGCTGTAGTGACAAGAATGCCAAAAGAGGAAAGAGACAGACATTGCATTTTTCATCAGATACTGAAATACAGGTCACCTATGAAACCCAATTTTCCCCCAGGAGCTTCTGGGAAGTGGCCTGATGTACTTGATAGAGATCTGAGCGTTTTTTATTGTGTGGGTGGGTGGCTCTGTGTGTGTGCACTTGCACATTTTAGACAAAACGTGCCATCCTGTTCTCGGTGCCCTGGGCTTCCTGGCAAACTGACCACAGTCCCTCCCCCGATGGCACTGAGCAGGCGTATCCCGCACTGTGGCGTGCGGGTGTCGGGCAGGCAGTCTCCCACGGCCTTGTTTTCTCCATCCCCAGCTATCCTCGGGGTTCTTTGAGGCCGTTCATATGAAAATTCCGAGTTGACTCTTTTAGAAACGCCACCAATTTTAACCACCTACTTATCCAACAGCGAACACCCGCTCACCTAACCAAGACTCTGCCTCCCAGTTGTCTCGTGAGCTCATCACCTGGACAACCTTCTGTGCTTCCTGTTTCCTCTCAGTTATGTATAAATTCCCAGCTGCTCAACAGAGTGCAGACATGACAGTATTTCGTGTCTGATGAATTGCACTGTAGATCTACTTAGAATGTCAAAGTCAAGGGGATGAATTTAAGCTGCAGTTCTCAAAATCCTTTCTCTCTGAATCCCTTCATATCCTAAAAATTACTGAGGATCCTAAAGAGATTTTTGTTTGTGTGTTTGTTTGTTTAACATCGCTTGATGTTTATTCTGATGGCCAACAGTGTCCTCATGTAAAACTATGTACGATAGAAAACAATTCATAAATAAAAATTAAAATTCTGTTCAAAAAAACAAGAAATGTCCAGATCAGGCTAATCTACAGAGACAGAGAAAGGAGATGGGTGGCCGCCAGGACAGAGGGTTGGGGAAAGGAGAAGTGACTGTTGACGGGTGCGTTTCTTTTCGGGTGAGGAAATGTTCTAAGATGAATCGTGGCAGCCGTTACCCAACTCTGGATCCACTAAATCGTTGACTTATACGTTGAAATGGGTCAGCTGTACCACATGCGAATGCTCTTAACGAAGCTACTAAAACCACGGGAAGCCCCTGATCAAACCATGATCTTGGGCCTCACAATAAAGATCAGCGTCCTTTTGGTGGTGGTTGTTTTCTGGGGGTGGAACCCAGGGCCTCCGCGTGCCAGGCACACGCTCTACCATGAGCTCATTTCTTAACACTGGAGGGCAAGCCTCGGGTGACACCTCCTTTGCTGACCTCCTTGATCTCCCCACACTGTCCAGCCAAGCGCTGTGACACTGTCCCTTGTCTCCTCCACCTGCTGTCCCCTGACGCACTCTCCCTCACACTCGAGTTCTCACCTATCCGACAGCTCCTGGCTTAGGGCCGACCTCCAGGCCCTTTCTGACTGCAACCCCCTCCTGCCCCTGCAGCCTGGGGAGGCGCCTTCTCCTCTGCTGTGAAGGCCCAAGTGTACCTTTCACTCCCCTACGTCACCCTCGCAGCAACCCAAGGGTGGCAACCTGTTCCCATTTCAGAGACGAGAAGACACCAGACTCACAGCAGCGATGTGATGGAGCTGAGTGTGGACGCTCCTGACCCCTGTGCTGTCAGGCACAGTGTCCTTGGACCCCCAAAACAGCAGTGCTCACACCACAGCTCCGTCTCCACCCCCAGACTGTCCAAGCTCCGAGGTCGAGAGCCCGCTTGCTGCCTCCAGGCCGCCCGCTCCCCACCTTCACAGCTGTGCAACCCAGGGCCAGTTCCTTTACCCCCCTGGGTTTCAGTTCCCTCATCTGTCAAATAGGGAAAGTAACTATCTCTGTCACAGGGTTGTTAAGAGGACTAGATGAGGTAAAAGCATGTCCAGCCAGGTACACAGCAGGCACTCAATAAACTGCTGCAAATGTTCTTACGTCTCTATGGCATTGCCCAGCATGAGGCTGGACCTACAGGGGGACTCCAGGCAGCCCCTCCAGAGCTGGCTGGAAGTCAGTGAATGCAGCTGGAGGAAGAGAAGGGGGTACACCTGGCCTGGAGGCCAGCACAGCCACTGTCCCCACCCGACTCTGCCACCAGGGACTACTCACGGGAAGGTGGATGCTGCAAAGCAGAAAATGGAGATCAAGCCCAGGCCCACGCTGGCCTCGTCCCAGGCGTCCTGGGCACATTCGCCGAACACATCCCATATCCACTGGCTGGATCCATTGGGGCAGCTGGAGAAGTTGCCAGGGCCCAGTTTCCTCCGGACCATGGCTGCAGGGAGAGGAGCCCCCGCCTGCGAGGGCTGCGTGGGAGAAGGCGCTGGCGTGCAGAGCAGGCGAGGGTTGGTCCTACATGGAGAGAGAGGAGGCCTCAGCGGTGGAAGGTCCAGCTCCTGTCCATGGTCATCCCGACCTACGTTGCCTGGGCCCAGACATCTGCCCCTGACCAAGTCCCTGAGCCAGAAGAGGAGGAAGACACAGTCCTCCCCCACAGGATGCAATGGCCTCTGGGGACACAGATCAAATCAAGCTCTGACAACCTCAAACATGCACTGGGGGAGTGCAGGGGCTGTGGTCGGGACAGGTGCATTCACCTCCCAGCATCTCACTAGGCAGCACTTCCACCGTGGGCCAGTCTCAGCCTCTCGGGCCTTGGCCCTCTCCTAAGCAGTGGGGTAGCGACAGGGCCTGCCTTGAATGGCTGCTGTGCTGCTTAAGTGTGTTCAGACAAACAGCACGTAGAATTGGGTCCCCAGGGTGATCTTTTGTTATAACCCATAAACATTTAGGTTGATTCTGTTTTTGCTGTAAATTATTCTGGGAGGGTCTGTGAGGCCAGGCCTGTTAAGTTCATGATCTCATTGGAAGGACAGCTGCCTATGCATTGGTCAGATGGCTGGGATCCACACACAGGATGCTCGAGTCCCCCCTAGGAGCTCCTGTTGTGGCCCATGGGAATCGACGGCCACCTCCCAAGCCAGAACATGGCTGGCATAGGGGCCAGTAGAGAAGGTCCCTCCCAGGACAGAGTAGAGCCATCATGCCTGAGTGATAACCTACAGGGGAGAGGAAGCAGGGTCTGGCCAGGGCCACCTTCATCCATGACAGTCACCACCATCCTAACTGCCGGACTCTGTGCTAGGCACCTGTCCAGTATTTTCTGTGCTCAGCAGGGACCACTGATTGAGGTCAAACTAGCAGAGGGCTGTGATCTGCCAGGCCACCCAGATAGGAAGCAACGGAGCCAAGCCCAGGACGGAGACCTGCCACACCCCACTGCCTCAGATGCTTCTTGTCCCTGCTAGTGCTGCTGGCTTCTGGCAGAGGAGAAACCTGGCTTCCCCTTTTCTCGCTGTGCCAAAAGGGAGTTTCCTCACCCAGGCTGGGGGTGTGCTCCAGCCACCTCAGTTCCCACTTGTGCCGGGGGGCCCCGGGCTCCTCACAAAGCAATGCCCTGGCTGGATGCAGGGAAATGCTGAGGTCGCAGGGATGGGGCAGCGTCAGGGAGGAAAAGGAAGCGAGTCAGCTCCTTTTCTTAGGAAGCTGAGGTTCTCAGTCCAAATGTGACTAGCTGTGCTCAGAAGCCCTAGCTCTGAGGGCAAGGGCGTCCCAGGTCACTGTCTGCCCTGCTCATTGCAGTATCTCCAGGGCCAGGCTCAGGGTGGCAGAAAGCCTCCTCCTGGATCTCGGTGGCTACCCTTGATGGAAGCATATACCTGATGTCTGTCACTGGCACCCACAAGGCCACCATGGTTAACACTCGGTCCAGGTAAGAACTGCACCTCTGCGACGCCACAGGCATTTAAAATCCAGTCCTTTTGCTCCCCAGCCAGCCCCTCACCTGGACTGCCTCCCTCGTCCTCCCCCGTGGATTCTAAGCATGCCCCTGCAGTGCATCACGTGTCAGCACATGGTCATTAGAAGGCACACACTCAGATAGTAACCTTCAGGGAACACTGACCCATTTTACAGATGAGGATGAGTGGACTTGGGCAAGTGAGTTAATCTGTCTGAGCCCATCTATAAAACAGGGCTAATGACACTCCATCCTTGGGGTGGCTGGGGTGACGAAATGCACATGACCCTCTCGGTCCATGTCTGATCCAACACAGGCTAATGTCTGATGTAAACAAGACAGTCCAGTATCTTGACCACCCTGGGGCCTCTTGCTCACTCCCTCCTTTCACCAGATTAAGACAGAAATAGGGTGGACAGGGATTCTGGGTTCCCGCAGGACCCTCTGCTCAGCTTCTTAAAGAATCCCGGTGCACACGATGCACTTTGAGAAAGGCTGGGCTGGAGAGAGCATCTCTAGCCCCACCCAAACCTTCTCCTGGATCCCAAGGGAAGACAGAGAGATGACTTCCCACCAAAGCAGAGCAAGTGTCCACCTTGGTTTACCGGATCAAGCTAAAGTCCTTGAGGGCAAGGCCCCAAGACACCAGAACTGCCCTCTTAACTTTATCTCCTGCTCCAAGTCCTCAAAGAGTCATTTCAGAGTTAGACATCTTCACATGCTTTCTCTTTCCCTAATAAGGCCCTTATCACCCTTGAAGGCCTGGCAAAGACATACTATGAGCCAGTTCTGAACTGCCCTATCCAAGAGGCCTAGCAAGAGGTAGCCAGACAGGACCTGCTGCCTCCTTCCCTGCCATAGGCCACACACGAAGAAGGCTTACCCACAGACCTCAGCCAACCACTGCTGTTTACACGCGCTCTTCTCCCTTAACCTGGTTGTGTACTTCCTATTCTCACAGCCTGTGACACCAGGTGCACAGTAAATGTTGACAGGGAGAGAAAGGAAACAGGAGGCAGGAAAAGAGAATCATAAAGGAGGAGAAAGAGAGAAAAAAGAGAAAAGAGAAAACAAAAGGAAAGAAGGGCAATGTTGTGATCTCAGAGGGCCTGGGATGGAGGGCAAGAGCTAACCTGCCTGCTGCCTGCCAGAGCTGGATGAGATAACCCAGAGCCAGCCGTTAGAAGGGTGCTCAGCACAAGGCACACACTCGGATAGTAACCTCCAGGGATGGCTATTTGTCTGCTCTTGCTATCCCACTCCCACCCCACTCCAACCCACCCGGGTCCCAGGCACAGAGTAGCCTTCAGTAAGCTGAATGGACAAGACCCTGGCCAGTCCTCACATATCTAAACCCACACTCCCCCAGCACACACGTGGACCCTTGCTCTAAGTATGGCGTGGGAGGGGCCCATCTGGGCTCCCCTCCCTGCATACCTGGGCAGAATGTGGCGTGGAGCGTCCTGGCTTGAGGATTCCACCCACTCCAAGCCTCCGGAGCGGCGGCCACAGCTCCCTCCTGGTGACTCAGCCTGGCGCGGGCCGCCTGTTTAGAAGGATAATGACAGGGCGGCCGCTGGGGCCAGCGCCGCGAGCCCCCCTCGCCCGGCCCGCCCGGGGGAAAACAAAGCCATCGGAAGCCAGCGGGCCCGTCGACCGCGACCAACAGGTGAAAGAGGACTCAGACCCCAAACACTGGCCAGGCCAGCCCAAGAAGCCGTGGTGATCGCCCCCGAGGTGGGGGCGACCGGGGCCCTGAGGGCTACCCAGTGCCGGCCCGGTGTCTCGCCCCAGGATCTTGTGCCACAGGAGGGGACAGAAGCCCGGGACCGTGCAGAGGCTGGAGTGAGATGCTGGAAAGACGTGCAGAAAGCACCAAGAGTCCCGAACCCCAGCCTTGGGGTCCGCTGTCAGCCCCCAGCCACCTCACCAGGTCGAGATCCGCCGCGGGACCAGGCTTCTGGGTTTGGTCCCAGCCTGGGTCAGCTGACAGAGCGCCGTCGCCAGGTCCCCAGAGCCGCGCGGCTCCGCCTCTTACGCCGCGCACTTGGCAGACGGTCCCTGGAGGCGTCTCGGCGCGGCGTGTGTGCGCCGGAAAGCACCGCGCGCCCTGGCCTCGCTCCCTTACCCCAACGCTCCTCCCACGTTGTAGGCGGGGCCCGCCAGTGCGCAAGCGCAGTCCCATGCTGCTCATAGCGTCCCGAGCCGTGGGCCGCGCTGCGGTCCGCACTGCGAGTGGTTTGGATCGGTCGGGCGCTCTCACTGTCGTCATGTCCCAGCCACCGCCGTCTCCTCGGGCTGCCTCGGGCGCCCGGGCCCGACCTGCCACGGTGCTGGGCACCATGGAGATGGGTCGCCGCATGGACGCGCCCGCCAGTGCCACGGCAGTGCGCGCCTTCTTGGAGCGCGGCCACACCGAACTGGACACGGCCTTCATGTACTGCGACGGCCAGTCTGAGAACATCCTGGGTGGCCTGGGGCTCGGGCTGGGCGGCGGCGATTGTCGAGGTAACAGTCGCGCCGGACCTTACCCCGCCGGGTGCAGAGCTCAATCCCTCCTCCCCTAGCGGTGCAGTGGCCGCGGTGGTCATCGGTGCCCCAAGCCCCTCCCTGCCTCGCCCGGCTCTGTGAACTCCAGGCTCCTCAGGCCATCTAGCTTCAGACAACTGAATAGTGCTTTACTTCCTTTCCTCTTCTCTGGTAGCTGCAATCTCGGTGGCCCCCATCCTGTATCCATGCACGCCACGAGCACCCTTTTCTCTTTCTGGTCTTTGACCAGTCCCTAGACTTTGTCCTTTGCATCTGGCAGTGCCTCTGGAGCTCACGGAGAACTGTAGGAATGCCAAGGGCCCAGTTGAAGAAGTAAGGGTGGTGAGGTCTGGGGGTGAGAATAAGGCTTCTGTGTCTGCTCTGTGCCAGGCTTTGTCATGCCTTTGTGGGAGGGGAAGGTGACCAAGCCACTGAGGGCTCTGAGTCCAGTGGGGCAAATGAAGCAACCATTGCACTATGGGGTGCAGAAGAGAGCACTTTAGGGGAGGCAGTAGGGAGGGCTCAGAGAACATGATCTGAGCATTAAAGGGTCATTAGCACTTTCCTTGAAGGAGAATAAGAGAAAGGGCATCCGAGGCACAGGGCAGAGCTGGGCAGAAGACAGCTTGGGAATGCAAAGTTCATGGTATGTGGAGGGATGGCCACATGTGGCTTGACAGGGATGCTATGTGAGTGGGGACTGCCCCTCATTAGCTCAGTGCCACTGGAAGTGCCCAGGAAAGTGCCTGGCCTCCTCTTTACCATCCTGAGGCTCCTCCTTCCCATTCCTGAGGAGTGGTCTCTCTGGGCCCTCCTTGTCTTCACAACTTGGTGGATCTAGAGAGACAGATGGGAATGTGTCTCAGGCCACGCTTTCTCGTTCATTGGCTCCCTCTCACTGATAATGCACATTTTGTTTCTGGATTGGTTTTTCTTCTCCAGTCCTTCCCTGCTTCCTTCTTTGAGGCCCGGGATTCACTGGACCAAAGTCCTCAGACCAGACTTGAGGCAAAGTTCACACAAGAATGCCTGAGGGGGTGGGGGGCTATGGGCGAAGAAACTGTGGACTTTTCTCCCATATCCAGAATGATCAGGGTCAACCTGGTGAGTTGACTTTGCCAAGTATGAAAAATGCAGAATCTCTCCACTCTTCAGTCTAGATAGCTGGGATGCTTTACAGGGGGAGGAACAGGGTTAAGTTAGCTCATGCCAAGTTGCTTGGATGGCAGAACACGGTCGTTCTCATGGGGGTATTGCCTCTGCAGTGCACGGTGGCTGTGGCAGGTCTGAGAGTCTGGAAGGGAGAGGGATTCTGCCTGCTGTTCAGTCTCCCTCTCTCTTTCAGATTGGTCCATGCCAGGGGCTCACATTCAGGTGCCACCATCTCTTAAATACTGCGATGGCCTATTTACTGGTCTCCTGCTTCCAGGCCTGCTCTCCAGAGTTCCTTCTCCATCCTGCAGAGGGAACTAGCTGGATGGTTCACACCCAAGAAAACATGGGAATGATCAAGCCCAGATTCAGTGGGATGGTATTTGAGGTGGAGTCTGTGTCCCCATCTCTTGTCTCATGTCCCCTGCCCTGGAATTGACAGGCTTATAACTCAGAATTGGACCTGTGCTGCCTCACAGCTGTGTTTTCTTACCTCTGGGACTTTATGTCCCCAGGCTTGTCCTTTGTTGGCTAAGACTCACTCTTGGGCACTCCACTTGAGATCATCCCTGGAGAAAGCCTCCCCTGGATTCCAGGATTGGCCTCGTGCCTCTCTTTGGGTTCCTGTGGCACCATGCACATTTCTCCTACTGCACCTAACCATACCGTAGTGACACCCTCTAGACTGTGACTTCCACAGGGCAGAGATCAGTGTGCTTAGTTCATTGCTGCCCCTAAGTCTCTAGCACAAGGCCTGGCAAAACCAGCAGTTTGGTGACTAATGATGGTGATTGGAACAAAGGTGAATATTGAGACCTTAGACATTAATTACTACTCATGACATCCATGTGGAGACAGTTACATTATTGTCACCCCATTTTACAGATTAGGGAATTGAGACTCAGGGAACTTAAGTAATTTAGCCAGTTATATGTCCACTAAGTGGCTCTAGTAAGTCTCTTAACCATTACATTCTTCTCCAAGTGAAAATTGCCACGAAAGCCAACCCTTGGGATGGAAAGTCACTGAAGCCTGACAGTCTCAGGTCCCAGCTGGAGACATCACTGAAGCGGCTGCAGTGTCCCCGAGTGGACCTCTTCTATTTGCATGCACCTGACCACGGCACCCCCGTGGAGGAGACGCTGCGTGCCTGCCACCAGCTGCACCAGGAGGTAAGGGTGGCCCCAAACTCTGGGCGGTCACCTCTGCTCCGCTCCTCATCTTGGCACTACCAGAAAAATCGGGCACCCAGAGCAGAGCGGGGGACACACCCGCCACCCCAGTGCCCCCTTCCTGGTCTCCTGGTTCTGACTGTGTTCTCGCCCCCACAGGGCAAGTTCCTGGAGCTTGGCCTGTCCAACTATGCCGCCTGGGAGGTGGCTGAGATCTGTACCCTGTGCAAGAGCAACGGCTGGATCCTGCCGACTGTGTACCAGGTGAGGCTCCCTGGTGTGCCAGGGCTGCAGAGGCCCCGGGCTCCAGGGCTCTGCTGCTCCCAGGTTTCCCTGCCCCTCGTGCCCTCTACCTATCAGCCACACCCCTGCTCAGAGCCTGTGGGAGGCTCCCAGGTGCCCTCAGGCCGAGCTCCCCAGCCTGCCCTGGGCACGAGCTTGCTTCGTGCTTCAGTGCGCACCTTGATCCCTTCCTTCCATGCCCCGCTCCCTGGGAGAGGTGCTCAGGTCTCAGTTAAGTGGCTCTTCCTCTGGGAGCCCCTCCTCACAGTCCCAGGAGCCTCCAGTCGTCAAACCTCATATGTACCCATTGTGATCTTGTAATTCTCTTTGTCTTTTGGAGGGAGAGATTCTGGGGACTGAGCTCAGGACACTTTACCATTGAGCTACATCCCTAGCCCTTTTTATTTTTATTTTTTTAAACATCTGTTTTTTGTTTGTTTGTTTTTTTACTTGTAGTTGGACACAATACCTTTATTTTTACGTGGTACTGAGTGGAACCCAGGGCCTCGCGCATGCTAGGCAAGCACTCTATCGCTGAGCCACAACCCCAGCCCCACCAGTCCTTTTTATTTTAATTTTTTTATTTTTCAGTACTGGGTATCTAACCCAGGGGCTTAATGAGCCACATTCCCAGCCCTTTTTATTTATATACTTTTTTGAGATAGGGTCTCACTAAATTGCTAAAGCTGGCCTTGAACTTGCCATCCTCCTGCCTCAGCCTCCTAAGTCACTGAGATTATAGTGTGTGCCACTAGCCTCAGATTTTCTTATTTTTAGTTGTATTGGGGATAAAGCACATTCATTATACATGCTAGGCAAATGCTCTACCACGGAGCTACCCCCCAGCCTTTTGTCTGTTTTTTAAAAATTTGATTATAATATCTCTTAGAGGCAGAGATTTTGCCAGGCTTGTCATTAGTTGTAAATCCAGTAGTTTTACAACTATGGGTGGTGAGGTCTGGGGGTGAGAATAGAATGGGACCAATAGATATTTATTGAATGATAAATGAAGAACAGTTTCTCTTCCCTGGGCCCAACACTTCTCTTCACTTCATACCAATACTAGTGTTTAGAAATAATTGCTGAATGCTGGGTGTTCTGGTTCACACTTGTAATCCTGGCTACTCTGGAGGCTGAGGCAGGAGGATCCCAAGTTTGAGGCCAGCCTGGGCAACTTAGTGAGACCCCATCTCAAATAAAATAAAAAGGGCTGGGGATATAGCTCAGTGGTAGAGTACTTTCCTAGTATGAGGCCTTGGGTTCAATCTTCAGTATTAGGGGGGCGGGGGGAGAGAGAAAGAGAGAGAGAGGGAGGGAGGGAGAGAGAGGGAGGAAGAGGAAGGAAGGAAAGAGGGAAAGAAGGCCTAGGGGCAGGAAAGACTGGGCTGGTGTGGACTTAGAGTCATACAAGAACAAGACGGTGGCACACACTATGCTCCCAACTACTCTGTGGGCTCAGACAGTAGGAGCACTTGAGCCCAGGAGCTCAAGGCTGCCTGAGCCACATAGCAAGACCCTGTCTCTTAAAACAAACAAACATAAAACAGCTCAAAAATTTTTTAAAAATGTTTTTAATAAAAGGAAGGCTGGGTTCCTTTCCTTGATACACCCACCTTCTCCAACTGCCCCTTCTCCCTGCAGGGCATGTACAACGCCACCACGCGGCAGGTGGAAACAGAGCTCTTCCCCTGCCTCAAGCACTTTGGACTGCGATTCTATGCCTACAACCCTTTGGCTGGTATGGGCTGCCCTGGGACAGGGCCCTCTGGGGGGGGAGGGGGTGGGCATTCCTGGCCCTGTCTCTGCCTATTCCTGCCCAGGTAGATGCCCAGCCCGGGCCCTGGGAAGTAGAGGGGGCTTTGACAGATGCTGGGCTTCACCCCTCGTCCCTCCTGGGTCCCTCCTGCTCCTCAGTCCATATCTGTGAGGGGTGTCAGCCCTGGGAGCGGCCTGGGCTGGGGTGTGATGCATGCTTCCGCAGGGGGCCTGCTGACCGGCAAGTACAAGTACCAGGACAAGGACGGGAAACAACCGCTGGGCCGCTTCTTCGGGAACAGCTGGGCTGAGACCTACAGGAATCGGTGAGCCACCTGTCTGCATCAGGACCGGTAGGGTGGAAGGTCCCTTTGGTCTGAAATGAAGTTCCAGATGTTTCCTGGGTCAAGACTTTCCTTGTACTTAATCTCTTAATCCCTCTAAGAATGACCAAACCCTCTGCCAGGCTTTTTATTTTCTTGTGGCCTCTATGAGGATCCCAGGGCCATGTGGTCAGTCATCCTCTGTGAGGACCCCAGGGCCATGTGGTTGTCACGTCAGAGATCTTCCCTGAGGAGCAGCTGCTGAGAAGGAAGGAAGTACCCAGATGAAGGCCCAGGAGGCCTGGGGCTGGATCTTGCCCTTGCACTAGCTGTGTGCTTCACTGGGGAAAAGAAAGGCAGGTGTACGTGCTCTCAAGAATAAAGATGTCATTGATGTCTGATGAGGCAGCCAGCAGCCTGGGCGGAGTAGGAAGCCACTGTCAGGGAGGACTTGGGCCTTCACTGCTTCAGGCCTTGAGGGGCAGCCACCCTGGTGGGCTTTTTGACTGTGACTCCCAGCATGACCCTCAAGGTTCTGACCCCTGTGTCACCTCCCCACCTGCTCAGCTTCTGGAAGGAGGACCACTTCAAGGCCATTGCCCTGGTGGAGAAGGCCCTGCAGGCCACCTATGGCACCAGCGCCCCCAGCATGACCTCGGCCGCCCTGAGGTGGATGTACCACCACTCGCAGCTGCAGGTGACTAGCTCTCCCTGAGGCACAGCTTCTGCCCTTTTATGGGACCCAAAATTATCTTTGGGTGATTTCTAGAGTGTGTTTTGTCTTTTCCTCTGAAAGCTCTCCTCCTTCCTAAGGAGAGTGTTACAAACGTGGATTGAATTATCACTTATTAGGAAGCATCCCAGTTTTATTGAGAAGGAAACTCTAGCTTGCACAGGTGTTAAAGGGGTAGACATCGAAACACAGCTTTACCTCTGCAACCCCTGGGTCTCGCTCCTCTGGTGGGAGCTCCCAGTCTGCCTTGTGAAAAATCCCTCCAGCTTTGGCCTTAGGAGTTGCTCATCATGTGACATCCATGTCCCTCATGCTCAGTAAACAGGGCCTAAGTGTGCTATGTGATTTTTTCTTTCTCATAACCACATTGAAAATGGGGAACAAGAGTGACTCTCAGAGAGGTTAATAATGAAGCTGTTTGCCCAGCTGTTGGGTAGCAGAACTTACTTAGGTCTCTAGATGAGCAGGGGATGAAGAGAAGAGAAAAGAAGGTATAGAGTTTCCTAGGTGTGACTGTTGAAGGCACCTTCAGTTCCTTCTGGATGTAGAGGATATGAATAAAGCTTGGGCTGAGGGTAGAGCTCAGTGGGTGGAGTGCTTGCCTTGCATACACAAGGCCCTGGGTTCAGTCCCCAGCACCACAAAAAAAAAAAAAAAAAAAAAGAATAAAGATCCCAAATCTTGGCAGGGGTGGGGCAGGGAGGGACATGCGACTGGAGCCACTGGACAGTAGAAGCCTGCTAAAGTCTGGCCTTCTCCCTTACAGGGCGCCCAGGGGGACGCGGTCATCCTGGGCATGTCCAGCCTGGAGCAGCTGGAGCAAAACTTGGCTGCAGCTGAAGAAGGGCCCTTGGAACCAGCTGTTGTGGACGCTTTTGATCAAGCCTGGCACCTGGTTGCTCATGAGTGTCCCAACTACTTCCGCTAGGCCCTGACATGGCTCAGGGTACCAAAGACTTTTCTATCTCCTCTCTTGTTCTCTCACTCTGGCCAGTCTTTGCCTTAAGCTGACTTAGCATGGTCTTTCCTGGTTGTTTTGATCATGCAGTATTTTTCTAGATTCCTGCCTTCTCCCTGCCGCCTCTGTGATGAGAGGGTGCTGGAGCCGAGGCCCACACCAGCATTTCCTGTCTGAACAGAGCAGGCACTCGGCTTGGCTGCAGCTCGGACCTGGGCAGAACCACAGGCTCATCTTCTGCTGCTCATCAAGAGGATTTCCCACCTGCCTGGGGACCTGCAAAAGGGGCTGGCACCATGAGCTGGGGTCTCCAGAGAGCAAAGGAAGTGGGAAGGTCTCAGGAACATGCTGCCCTTGTAAGGGTCTCCTCGCCTGATCTCCAGCCTGATTGCCCAGTCTTTTACTGGTGATAGAAAACGGGCCATGCACCCCGGAAGTAGTTTCCGCTCATTCAGAATCAACTCACTCAATAGAAACGACAGTCTGGGCAAATGCTACCATTAGTGTCAACACTAAGAAGAATAAAGAAGTGTCTCAGGATGCTGTGGACCTCTCTCTTTGTTTCTGAAATGAGGTCCTGCTGTTTCGCCCACAAGGGCCTCAAACTCCTGGGCTCGCGCAACCCTCCCACCCAGTCCTCAGGAGCAGCTGGGCTGCAGGGGCACACGCTCTCAGTGTCAGCAATGGCTTTGCTCTTGTCTTAGTGAAGCCTCTTGCCAGGTCATCCTTGGGATGTTTGGCCTTCACTTTGAGCCTCCTGTTGGAGGTGGGGACACAGCGGTATTATAGTTTGGATCTGGAATGTGCCCCAAAGGCTCATGTGTTGAAGGCTTGGTCCCCACTGTTGGAAACTAGGAGGTGGGCCCTAGTTAAAGAAGGTAGGACACTGGGCATGAACCCTTGAAGGGTGTACTGGGAACGGGGCCCCTTTCTCTTTCTCTTCTGGCCTCCATGTGGCAGGCAGCCTTGCTCCACCATTGCTCTTGTCCTGACGTTCAGCCTAGCTGCAGGCCCAGAGTAACAGGAACAGAAACCTTGAAATCATGAACCCAAAATAAACCTTTCCTCCTTTTAAGTTGTTTTTCTCAGGCATTTTGTCATGACTCCTACCTGCAGCCAGGGTCCCCATTCCCTTGGCAGATGTCTCATCCAAACAGGAGGCAACAAAGGCCTGAGAAGAAAATCCCAGGTCTGGTGGTTGCTGTTTATCTATTTCCATGTGGCAAATCCCTGTAGCTGTGGGAGGGTTGGGAGCACAGGTTGTGGGACAAGTGGCGGCTGTCAGTCAGCAGTGAGAGCCCCCTCTGGGAATGATGAGAGGAGCTCAACTGGGAAATCCCATGTGCTGTCTAGAGGGAGACACCCTGCAGATGACAATGACAACATCATCATCTTGCAGTACTGGGAATGGATCCCAGGGGTGGGATCCACTGAGCTAAACCCCTACGCTTTTTATTTTTTAATTTATTTTGAGACAGGGTCAGTCTCCCTAAGTTGTGGATGCTGGCCTGGAACTTGAGATTCTCCCCTCCTGAGTTGCTGGGGATTACAGATATGTGTCACTGCAACCAGTTTAGCTTTGTCATTTATAGGAAGAAGTCACTCTCCTTTGTCCTCATCTGTACCAAAGCAGATGGTCCCCAGTGGGCTGGTGTATCCATTGTCATTGCACAACAACCCGCCGCCAATTGCATTAATATGTTCTTTCCCAATTGATCTAAAGGATAATGCACTCCCTATCAGAATTGCAGCTGGCTTTTGGGGGTGGGGGATGGGATAAACAGAAATTGGTCTGATCCTAAAATTCACAGAAATTCAAGGACCCAGAATAGCCAAAACAATCTTGAAAAAGAACAAAGTTAGAAAAATCAATGTTTCCTGGAAAGGTTACCACAAGCTACAGTATTAAAAACGGTGGGGAACTAGCATAATGATAAACACAGATCAATACCACCAGAGAATCAGAAGGTGAGAAATAAACCCTGACATGTACCTTATATGATGATTTTTTTATTAGTTACACATGACAGTACAATAATCTTATATGATAATTTTTAAAGAGGATCAATGGGGAAAAGAATCACCTTTAACAAATGGTGCTGGAACTACTAGATGTCTTTATTCTTCTTCATGTGGAAGAATGAAGTTGGATCCCTTCCTCACACCATATGAAAAATTTAACTCAAAGTGGATAAAACACCTTAATGTCAGCCCTAAAACCCTAGGAAGAGAATCTAGGAGTAAATCTTCATGACTTTGGTGAGATATGACACCAAAGTACATGCAACAAGAAAAACAGATAATTTGGACACCATCAACAAGAAAAAGTTTTGAGTTTCGAGAGACCAATGGGAAGGTGAGAAGACAATCCACAGAATGGAGGAAAGTATTTTTTTAATCATACATCTTCCAAGGAACTTGTATCCAGGACGTTTTACATATTCTGTATGGACTCTTACAACCTAATAAAAGACAGACAAACCAATTAAACAATGGACAAAGAATCCAAATGGAGATGGGGCTGGGGATGTGGCTCAAGCGGCAGCACGCTCGCCTGGCATGCGTGCAGCCCGGGTTCGATCCTCAGCACCGCATACAAACAAAGATGTTGTGTCTGCCAAAAACCGAAAACTAAATATTAAAAATTAAAAAGAATCCAAATGGACCATTCTCTAAAGAAGATATGCAAATGGCCAATGAGCACATGAAAAACTGCCCAACATGATGATAATTAGGAAAAAGCAAATCACAACACTTCACACTCTCTAGGATGCCTAAGAGTTAGAAAGAAAGAAAGTAACAAGGAAGAAGGAAGGAGAGAGTAACAGCTGTTAGTCAAGGTTGGAGAGAGTGGAACTTTCATACATTGCTGGTGGGAAGGTAAAAGGGAGCAGCCATTTGGAAAACAGTCTGGCAGTTGCTCAAAAAATTAAACATGGAGCCAGGCATGGTGGCACACACCTGTAATCCCAGCAGTTCTGCGGCTGAGGCAGGAGGATCACAAGTTCAAAGCCAGCCTCAGCAACTTAGTGAGGCCCTGAGCAACTCAGCAAGCCCCTGTCTCTAAATAATAAATAAAAAGGGCTGTGGATGTGGCTCAGTGGCTAAGCACCTCTGGGTTCAATCCCTGGTACCGAAAAAAAAAAAAAAAAGACAAAGAAACAAGTTGGGGGATGTGGCTCTAGTGGTAGAGAGCTTGGCCAGCATGTACAAAGCCTGGGTTCCATCCCTTGCACTGCAAAATAAATAAGTAAAAAGGGAAAAGAAGCTGTGTTTGATCTGAAATGTAGCAACTATATATAATCAAAATAAGAAAAACTGGTCCATAGAGTATAAAACATTGAATGAAGCAGCAGAGGTTTTATATTGGAATTGGTTTCTTTTTTTTCTCTGTAGATGTAGATGGTCAGAATGCCTTTATTTTATCTGTATATGTGCTAAGGATCGAAACTAGTGCCTCACACGTGCTCGGCCAGCGCTCTGCCCCTGAGCCCCAGCTCCAGCCCTGTCTTAGGCCATTTTCTATTGCTGGGATAGAGCACTTGAGACTCCGGGATTGGTAGAGGTCTTTGTTTTGTATTTTTGGAACCAAGGATCGAACCCTGGGGTGCTTTACCACTGAGCCACATTCCCAGCCCTTTTTATTTTGGTCTTGCTAAGATTTTAGGGCTTTGCTAAATTGCTAAAGCTGGCCTTGAAAATGCGATCCTCCCGCCTCATCCTCCCCTGTTGATGGGATTACAGCCTTGTGCCTTCTCACCGGGCAAGAGGTTTTCCTATTGGTCCACAGTTCTAGAGATTGAGAAGCTCAAGAATATGGCCCTGGCATCTGCCCAGGTCCTGGTGAGGGCCTCCTGCTGCTTCAACTCACCAGGGAGAGTAAAAGGGAGCGCGGGGACCCACTCTCCAGTCCTGCCAAAGAGAGAATCCACTAATTCCCAAGAGCAATGACCCAGTCCTACAAGGCCAGCATTAGTGACCCAAATTCCTGCATAGAGAGGGAAGATGGGAGGGGAGGGGGGATAGTAGGGAATAGGAAAGGTAGCAGAATACAACAGTCACTAATATGCCATTATGTAAAAATGTGAGTGTGTAACCAATGTGATTCTGCAATTTGTATTTGGGGTAAAAATGGGAGTTCATAACCCAATTGAGTCAAATGTATGAAAGATGATATATCATGAGCTTTGTAATGTTTTGAACAACCAATTAAAAAAAAAAAAAAAACAAATTCCTCCTGCAGGTCCCGCCTTCTAGCACCATGACAATGCAATCCAATTGCAATATGAGTTTCCGAGGGGAAGTTCACATTGAATCATGGCAGGAGTCAATGAGAAGGGAAACCACTGATGCTGGAGGCTGCAGAGAGGGCTGACCTACTTGTTTGCTTTCAATTCTGGCCTACTTGTTGCTAATGATTGTGAGAGTTCACATCTCCAGTATTTGCATTCTGAATACATTCCAGAAGCAATTGGAAGGTATGAGGGTATGAGGGAGGCTCCATAATTGCTTATGAGCATGGACACTTCTGCTCCATAGTTTTAGTTTAATGAGGCTCTTTTCATCTTGACACCGTGTCCCACCAGAATTCGAATTTGTCCACGGCAAACCCAAATTTCTATCTTCGACGTTGAACTAAATTTAACATGACATTCACAGAAGTGGCAATGCCTCATTTTGAAAAAATGAGCTTCAAAAGCTCTACAGTGGCTCAGGAGGCTGAGGCAGAAGGGTGGAAAGTTCAAGGCAGGCTTTGGCAATTTATCGAGACCCTGTCTCAAAAACAAAGATAAAAAGGAGTGGGGGTTTAGTTTGGTGGTCAAGAACCTCTGGGTCCAATCCCAGTAGCAGAAAAAAAGAAGAACAAGGAAAAAAAAGGAAATGAACCTTCTGCATTGTAAAAGCGAAATCTCATTCTTCAGATGCAATCTTCAAAAATTAGCAATTACGTATCTGGGAGTGTCGCTCAGTGGTAGAGCACCTGCCTAGCATGCACCAGACCCTGGATTGATCCCCAGCAACACACATACACACACACACACACACACACAGAGCAATTATATCAAGACACTTATGCCTCTTCAACTGTTTTCTGCTTTTCTTTGCATGTATATGGGGGCAGGGGGTGTATTGAAGGTTGTACCTAGTAGTGCTTTACCACTAAGCCACATTGCCCTTTTAATTTTTATTTTTTATTATTATTTTTTTTCAAGGCCTAGGACCGAACTCAGGGTCTTGCACATGCTAGGCAAGCACTCTGCCACTGAATTAAATTGCCAACCCCTTAATTTTTATTTTGAAACAGGGTCTTGCTAAGTTGCCCAGGCTAGCCTTGAACTTGTGATCCATCTGCCTCAATTTCCCAAGTATTTGGGATTGAAGGCATGTGCCACTGTGCCCAGCTGTCTTCTGCTTTTCATGTGGCCAGTGACATCATTATACTTCATGACAGAAGACAAATATTGACATTGTGATTAAGTCATGTATTTATTATCAACTTTCTTGAGAAATGGAAATCCAGGGCTTAATATTCAATTAACTAGGCATCTGGCCCTTTGAAAGTGACTTGGACTCTGTCTTTGGCTGATCCTGTTAGAATAGTTGTTCTTCTGTGCAGATACACACCCTGCCTTGAGAAAGGAAATGCAAAAAAACCTGAGATAAGTTTTGGTTTATGATGAGGTTCTTGTTGGTAGAATTCTCCCCAGAGATTGTCTTCATGTAAAGTTATGTTGCTATGAGTTAAAGAATATGAATAACCAGGCACGGTGGTGCACACCTGGAATCCCAGCAGCTCAGGAGGCTGAGGCAGGAGGATCGGGAGTTCAAAGCCAGCCTCAGCAAAAGTGAGGTGCTAAGCAATTCAGTGAGACTCTGTGTCTAAATAAAATATTAAAAAGGGCTGGGGATGTGGCTCAGTGGTTGAGTGCCTCTGAGTATAATCCCTGGTACCTGCTCCCCCCCCACAATAATATGAATAAAGAATCCCCAAGCCCTGAGACTAAAATAATATGAGAGCATTTGAGTATTTTGTGTTGAGTACAATGGCCCTGCCCTGACTAGACTGCATAATTG